TTTTTGAATGCCTTGGTATTGAATGAGCTTTTTGATCCTTGCAGGCTTAAAACGAGGCCTTCAACTGCTTTTGTACCCTGATACAAAAGGAATACGTTAGCTAATAGGCATTATAGCATTCATACATATGCTAATAATTAATGTGAAAACTGATGGTGTAGGATAAGCAAGAGATAGATCATCAAGGAAAAAAAAAGAGCATTTATGCAACCATTTTATGCTAAATGAATTCTATGATAAGAAATATCTTCGTTTTTCAACCCACAGCAATTATTGTCTCACCGTTCTGTCAGTTAACAGTTCAATAACATCTTCTTTATACCATAATCTGCTACGTTCCCCAGGATCCCTAAAAGATTCTTGGAGAACAATTTCTCTTCCCATGTCTCGAAGCAAATCATGCATCAAGAACTTATTGTTAGCGCCAACCTTTACAAGGCATCTCCTCGTGAGAGTATTGATTCCATCAATTGGAAAGAAACCACAGCCATCAAGTATGCTCATGACATAATCCTTTTTGTACCCAATGAAGAAACATGCAATATCCAGAAATATAGACTTCTCAGCAGCATCAAGAGAATCATAACTTATTTTGAGTATACTGTGAGTGCCTTTGTGGCTAATCACTTTTAGTTTTTCTAATCTGCTATTCCATACATCAATGTTCTGGCCACCCAAATCTGATCCCAAAACTGTAAGAGCTAGTGGATTTCCTCTTGCATAGGATACAATTCTACTCGCAGAATCCATGTAACTTTCATCGGGACAGCGCTTGTTGAAGGCATGTAAGCTTAGTAGCTGAAGAGAATCGCTGCCATTCAATTCCTTGACCTCATATTGTCGATACAACTTTGATGGTTGTAGCAGGTTCTTAATTCTAGTTGTTATTATCACCCTGCTTCCAGGGTAAAGCCAATCAAGATTCCCGAGAATTTTATCCAGTTCTTCCTGTTTATCTTCAATGTCATCCAGAACAATGAATACACGCTTGCAACGTAATCTTTCTTTTATCACCTTCGATCCTCTATCAACATTGTATATCTTCTCATGTTTTCTTTTCAAGATATCCGAGAGAAGCTGTCTCTGTAAGTAGGCTATCCCATTGGAAATAATTTGTTGTCTAACATTTTCAAGAAAGCAGCTGCCTTCAAATCTTTTGAAGACTAAATTGTAAACCTCCTTGGCAAGAGTTGTCTTGCCTATGCCCCCCATCCCAATTATACCAACTATGCGAACATCTATTGACTCATCATCTAGCAAGGAGATCACTTCTTTTGCTCGAGAATCTAAGCCAACTGGGTGGATAGCAACCCTTAAGATTGTCCGATCAAGTCTAACTGAAATCTCCTTAACAATGTAGTCTACGTTTTCAGCTTCATGCCTGCGATTGTCCATGGAAAGAGCACTATAAATAAATACACAAACCAACATGCAATAATTTCAAGCATGAACTTGTACATATAGTGAGTTCCGAATTAATGGTTATAGTGATTTCAGTGATGCAACAAGCATTTTCTAGACGCATCGGTCTTACAAACATCTTTCCGAAATTGTTTCCTTATTCTCACAATTTTTTTTTCATTTTTATCCGAAATAGTTTAATCGGGGGAGGGATATTCTTAATAAAGAATGAAAATATTGTCATATTAAGAGAACATAATAGCAACGCCCTTATGTACATGCTGATAATATATATTTTGTTATATATGATAATTCGCTGTTTCTTTATGTTAATAAGTTATGTTTCTTAATTTTCTTTCTCCTTTTCTCTGTCTTTTCCTTTCCTTTCCTCTCCTCTTCTTTTTTTCTTGCTGATTGCTTGTTTGATTTCTTGATATAACTAGGGTATGGTGTATAATGGTTATGTACCTGACAATTTTCTTTAATAAAACAGATTTGAATCTTACCAACTCTAATTTATTTGATAATTATATAACATGAAAGAAAGATTCAGTAATGCTCTTCATTATACTCTTAACATGATCTTTCAGTAAATTAGATTTTTTTTTCTTTCAAATCCTAATATCCGCTGCAATCCTCTTATCTCCCAACGTATTTTCTTTGGGATTCACCTTGCCTGAGATTATGTTTTCAAGATTTATGCACAGGCGGGTAAAGAATATTTTCAATTTTGACCGATTGATTTCATCACAACTTGTTATATATGTAGTAGAGCTTAAGAATGACTAATTTTGTTCACCCTAGCCATGAGCATGCACGCCCTATTGCTACTAGAGTAATTAAATCGATCTCTGCACATTGAAGTTTGATGACTAAGGTGCTAGGTAGCCAGTTTTGTAAGAAAAATAGTTTGCAAGAACAAGAAACAGACACGACATCTAAATAAAAATAAAGAAACCCCGGCTAGATGTTGGCCGGTTAGAGACATGTCTAGTACTATGGAGCACGCAAAATGCCAAGCACTTCGTATTATAAAATTTAACGCCATTGCAAGTGCAATATCATATGATTTATATATGTGTGTGTGTGTGTGAGTTTGTTTTCTAGTCCAGAGCTGATTTGCTCAATATCTTGGGAATACGATAAATTGACGATAAGCAGAGCAGGAACTACTTTGGTTTTTCTTCTTCTTTGTTTTTTCTTTCCCGAAGATGAACAATTTCTTTATCAATAGGAAGCAGGGGTCGATTAATAGTGTTTTTAATCTTGAAAGAGAGCCACATGCCATTGTAATTGAGGTTCTAGTAATTAAACAGCTACTTACCCGTCTAGATGTCTTCGTAGATCCAGACCCTTCAAGTAAGCAACTTCTCTTAGAGCATCCCTCCATTTCTCCACTTTATCCACGTCATCCTTGAAACTCTTTTCATGTACAGCAAAAGCTTCTTCAAAACTTCCTTTTTGCTCTTCAACATCAGACGGATCTATGTCATAAAAGACAGGCCAAACACCATGGCCTTCTTTTCTACATCCGAGGATGTGCACAAGCTCATCAAGACACCAAGGGGAGGATGCATAGCCTTTTGAGAGAATGACAATAGAAAACCTTGAGTTCTCAATTCCTTGGAGACACTCCGGTCCAATTTCTTCACCATGATCGATCTCATTTGCATCTCTAAATGTATGGATTCCTTCCCGAACCAAAGCAGAATATAAATGGTCTGTGAAACCGGACCTTGTGTCTGCACCTCTAAAACTCAGGAACACATCGTAATCCCATTTTGACGAGGTGGAGTTGGAGTTGCTAGAAGCCATTGTTCGAGATGGGTTGGTTTTTGTTGCAAATCTTGCTCTCGGTCTTAGGTTTTGCTAAGCTTTTCTGCAACCTGCATTAGGACGTTTGCTTGTCAACTCTGGAGGCGCACCACATGATAGACAATGGCGTTTTGTGACATCTTTACAGGCCACAGGCGCCCCGTATAAATACATACATACATACATTATTTTTATTTTGTGCCAACTTGCCCGCAAGACGAGGGCTAGCAAAGGTGGTGGTAAAGACGTATAAAAGGGTAGCTTAAAATGGTATTAGTCCACGGATATCTTGAAAGTTTTAAAAATTTAAATTGTCAGCCATCTCTTAAATCTCGTGTATCTGAGGAAAACAACTTGCGGTAAAATTATATTTAAAAAAATTAAAAATTAAAATCTAAAATTACTTTTTGTTATTTTTAATCATTCTAATATGTTAAAATTAAAAATTAAAAATTAAAAATTAAAATCTGAAATTACTTTTTATTATTTTTAAACATTCTAATATGTTAAAATTAAAAATTAAAAATATATTTTTAATCCATTTTTAAATAAAAAATATTTTAAAAAAAATCTCTACCCTAATATAATACAGGTTCTGATACAGAAAGTCTACTCTCATTTTTCTATACACCGTTACAGTTTAATGATTCTTTCATTCTTTTAAAAAAGTTTGTTTGCTTTTTGATTAAAGGTGGGGATATATTTGTCTTTTTATTACAAAATTGATCATTACAAGTTTGACCAGAGTACCATCGGCTTTATAATGTATCAATAAATAGTTAAATAACCAAAATAACACATGATCAGGGATAATATGGTATTTTTCCTCAGATATTTCGTTAATTATTGACTTGATAAAAAGTAATAACAGACAGCTGTGGATTACCCTTTGATTGTCGGAAGACTAAGTTGTATTATTGTTTCAGGTTTTCACATCACGGCTGACTTTTCTTCTTCTCTTTCTTCCTTCCTAACATTACGGTCCCGTTCATTAAAAATTATTTTTATATTTATTTGTTATTAAAAAAAATTAACTAACAAAAAAATATTTTTTTAAAAATATTTTTTAAAAATTATAAAAATATTATATTATTAACTAATTATATTAAATTTAATACTCTAACTTTTTTATTATTATATATTTTATTTTTAATTTTATCTTTTAAAAATTTGTTTTTATATTAATTTTAATTTTAATTTTTATGATTGTTATTTCTTTAATTTTTATTTTTTTTACAAATTTTTTTATCTATTATATTGGATAATCATTTTTTTAATTATTATTTATTTTATTTAAAATAAATTATTAAATTATTATTATTATTATTATATTATTTTTTAAATTTTGTTATTTGTTAGATTTAATCTTTATTAATTCATTATTATTTATTTTATTTAAAATAATTTATAAAATTAATTTTTTTAATTTTAATTTTATTTAACTTTTTAATTTGCAAGATTTATTATTTATTATTTTAAAAAATTTTAAAAAATAAAGTATTAATAAGAAATTTTTTAATTTATTTTTTATAATATAAACAAATATTTAAAAATATTTTTAAATTATTTTTATAATATTATTAAAAAAAATTTATTTTTTAAAAATTTATTTGAGAAAAAAATTTATTTACAATGAAGATTTTAATTTTTTTATTTTTTTTCTTGAAATTAATATTTTTTATATTTTTAAATTATTTTAATACGTTTAGAAATAATTTTTAAAAAATAAAAAATATTATTTTAATATATTTTAAATAAAATTTGAAAAAAAAAAAAACCAAAAAATGGGATGGATCAATGATTTTTCAGTCCCTTTTGCAATTATAGAAGCAAGGAACAGGTTGAGAGGAGAAAAAAAGGCGGAGAGGAGATCTTTGAGAGAGACGTTAGGAGCCCTGTGAAAGGGTCTCTTTTGCAGCACTGAAAGCAACAAACAGAGGGAGAGGAGCGGCAAACAAGCTGAATTAGGCTAACCTGGTCTCCTCCAACTTGGGTCAAGTTCCTCCAAGGTAAAATTCTAGGGTTTGCTGAAGAAATCTTCGTTTTTAGAGTTTTTAGATAATTCATTTCTGGGTTTTACTATTTGATGTGTTGTAACCAATCTTGCTTGATTAATTATTGGTCAGCAACGATTGGGTTTGTCTTTCTGATTCTTTGGATCCATGTTGTTAAAAATGTTAGCTTGCTTGATTAATGTTGTTGTCTTGTTGTGTGTTTGAAGAGGAAGAGAAGGACATGATACATAAGATGTTCGTGCTTCTCTAAAAGAACTGAAGCTATTTACAGACTCTGCTGAGAGGTCAGCGCTAGCTATAGAAATCTTCTTGTAAAATATGATTGAGTTTTGGGTGAAAGTATATTTTTTAACGTATTTGGATTGAAAATAATATTAAATCCCTTTGTATGATTTTGGATGGTTTGGGTTTAATAAATCATTTTACGTTCTTGAACTGCATTTAGCAAAGGGATTGTTTGTTTGTTTGTTTACAAGAGGACAGTACATGGAGGAGATAAAGAAATTCACTGCACTCTTTTTTTTTTAGGTTGATGGTAGTGAAACTGTCGAGATGCTTGGTAAATGTTGTTGTGGCTGTGATGTGTGTTTTATGCAGGGTTGATATCCAGGCCAAATTTGAAGGAGAAGAAGAGAAGGAGAATGTGGGAAGGCTATCGAAATGGTGAGTTTGATTGCTGCATCTTTTATTTATTCTTTTAGGTTTTGAATATGGATGTTTTGAATATGGACCTGTAATGAATTCTGTGCTTTTTTATTACATTACCGAAAAAACTAATAAGCTCATGGTTTCGCTTCACAACTAGAACCATTTACACTGCTGGTTCAAATAGTGTCTTCTTCTTTAATACTGCACCCACTTGCAATTTAGTTTTTCGATTCCCGAGTTTTTTAGTGGCTGTCTTCAGTTCTTGATTGCTGGAGCTACTCTTTTTTTTTTTCCCTTTAATTTGACGTGTCATTGAATGAGACTGTATTTTCCACTGGCCAGTTTCTCAATATCTCATAGTTCTGCTCCAGTTCTGTTGATGGCTCTGTTCTAATTCTGTTAGCAAACAACCAGGTAAGTACATTTATGTCGTTTTCTTTCCGTTTCTTAAATTTCAGTTTCATTCGCAATCATAACCTCTTGGCAGTTCATGTCTTTTCAAGGATTCTTTGCTTGCCACGTTTCATGTACATTCATTTTCCAACTGGGCGTCATGATTTGTTTTCTTGGGACTATATCTTCAGACAAATAATTTTTCCTTCCCTTCCTCTTTCATTGCAAAAAAAAAGAAGAAGAAGAAGAAAGGGCATGTTAGGAAGCAATGAAAATAAAAACTACTTTCTCTTTCAGATGTCAATCTCTTTGTTTCTTCTCTTCGAAAAATGACTCAAGGATTTTCTGGGAAGGAAATCATTGATCGTATTATTTTTGAAGTTTGATTCTTCATGTCATCTATTGGATTTCAAATTATCTTTTACTTTCACAGTGATTACCCTCCCCCCCGTCTCTCTAAATACATAATGGGTTTTTGATTTGTAGGTTTCACAAAAATCTTGCATAAATTAACTAAAAAAATCCATATAGCCTCACAACGATCAAACTTTCCATATTCACAAGCCCGATTCGAGGAAGGAGATCCACAGGGAACAGTTGTCGCTGCTGCTGAGGTCGCGAACACACAAATCCACAACTAGACAGCCAAGACAAATGAATAACGTGTTCCTGATGGTGGCGTCAATTCTGTCGTAAAGACTGCAACAACCCGCCATCTATTGGCCACGCCTATTAGGTCGACCAGCGTCCTACGGTTTTGGGTGAGTCAATCTGAGTTTTTATTCAAGAAAAGCTTGACTTTTTTTCTACTATCAGTCCAATCTGTAGCTAAGTTGGATAGGGCATGGATATGATCTATCATAGAGCTGAAATAACCTCTTCTCTTTTTATTCATGATGTTTATTTAGCAGGGGCATTCGAGTCTGGTGATTGTTCATTTCTGATATACATCTCTTTTATGCCAGGATGGCAGTAACTTGATTTGCTATTTATTCTTTCTTTTATTAGTTCACCAATTGAATATTGACTAATTGCCAACAGAAGGTCTAAAATCACAGTTGCGCAAATGTTGATTGAAGACAAGTGTTCGATGCATAGTGACTGCCACTTTCACTCCAAGGAGGCAATGCTCCCTCTTACAAATCAGGTTGGCAATAGTTACAAGCATATTCCAATAGCATCTTCCTTTGCTGAAGTTCACCCTCTGGATGTAAAGCACTTGATGCCTGTGCATGGAGTTGAATTTCAACCCTCTGAGATTTGTCCAGAGGATTTCATTGAAGAATGCGATGAGGAAGAGGTCAGCATTGCACACGCACATGGAAATTAATGAAGCAACTGCACTGGTTCTTGCTCCAGTTGTGCTTCAAAACATATGAAAAACAGATTTTATGTTTGGAAGTACTCTGGCAGTGTTTATTGCTGTCACAGTGAAAGGAAACAAGAGAAAATAAATAAAATGGTGCGACATTGAGAGATATTATTGTACTTGGTGGTGACCGAATAAATACTGTCATTGTTTTAGATGAAGCCGTGTAGGTATACAAACTGAACGAGTTACGTGATATGAAAAAACTGTTGATCTCAATTGATTTCATTCTACCATTGTCTTGATAGATAATTGACATGGCTTCATTAAAGGATATCAAACAATGGATCATCATGGTATGAAGGTTGAGCATTGATGAAGTCCCAAATAATCCAATTACTTTAATAATTAGGTTTTTGGTTGGATAATTAGTGAATTATTTAGTTTTATTTATTTTTTCTAATTAAGATGGTTGATAATTTATATTTGTTATTTAATAGATCAAAGAGAATTATAATTAATACCTGTAAAAGAATTTTTGTAAAAGATTTTTTTTTATGGAGGTTGGGATTTTTCGATACTTAAATGAATATTTTTTTAGAAAGAAAAAATACAATAATATTTTAAAGAGAAATATTATAAAAATATTATATGTAAAGATTGTAAATTTTTGTTTTGAAGTTCTTATATTGTATTTATAATTGATAAATCTTATTTTTTATAAAAAAAGATCTAAAATATAATTTTATCCTTATAGTATATAATAAGTGATAAATATATCTTAAATTTGTATTAATATATTAATGGAAATATAATGTATTATTATAAGATTTTTATACACCTAAAAAATATATAAAAATAGATTCAAAATATTAAATATAGCCAAGTCTTTAAAGACTGAATTCTTTTATAAAACTAAATCTAACGAAAGTTGGGTTCGTTTTATAAATGGGTTTACAGAAGTATATCTATACGAAGATGCTCATTTCCTCAAGCAAGCTTAGAAGAGGATGTTTATTTTTCTAAGTGCATTCGATAATAGTCTAGTTATTTCTTTAAGCATATCTAGAAAGAATAGAATGATTATTATTTTTAGTGTATTTGGAACTTAACACAATATAATATCATGTCTAATTGTTATTGAGTCTTGCTAGCACGAGACTTAGCATACTTTTATTAGAGTATATTTATATTTTAAAAACTTTATATTCATAAATTTTTATTTATTGTATATATTTTTGTAAAGATATATTAATAAATACTTATTTCCTCAAGTATATTGGTTACCATAGTTGATATCACAAAATATTGTTGAACAATTATTTTTTATTATTTGTTGATGATATGTTCTTATTATGCCAATACAAATCTTAAGATGCCTGACTTTTAAATCCATGTCGGTTTGTTTTGAGATTGATTGCTTGGTTGTTCTTTTTAACCTAAATTTCTTTTGTAATGGACTCTTTGTTTCGTCAAAATTGACCACTTATAGCTATCGTTTTTTGATAATAATAATAATAATAACAATAAAAATAAATTTATCTTCACCACTTGCATTTAAATTTTGGCCTTTTTTTTTCTGTCTAAAATCCTACAGCTGAGCACGGTTATTTTAATTTATTTTTATATTTAAGTATTCAATTTATTTCTATAAGTATAATTTATTTCAATTTATTTTTAAATTGAGAATCATTCTGGCCAATCTATCTTTTTTTTCCTTCAAATGTGAGAAACTCGAATTCTAAAAAAAAAAATAATATTACAAAATTTATTTTTACTAGTTTTAACGAGAATCTATCAAAATGATCTCAGATATAAAAATAAATAGAAAGCAATTAAATTTGTTTTGATATATATGAGATTTGACGTAAAACTAAAGATTAGTTGAATTGTCAACAGTTATTTTTGTTGAAGTAACAGGCATTTAGTTGAAGTGTCAACAGTAGTATTAAAGGGTACGTAGTTTATTATTTAATTCCTCCACCAATTAGTTTATTTAAAAAATTAAAATGTCAACAGTTATTTAAAATTCGCAGATTAGTTGAAGTAACTAAATGCCTGTTTTATGCCTCCATTTCAATGCAAGGACAGAGGTTTGTAGCAGCTACAGATATATTGTTTGTATAGAATATTGCAAAGTTTATTTTTCAAAATACTTACTTTTTATGTTAAAATACTTACTTGTTTATTTTTTAAAATTTAATTTTAACACCAACACATTAAAATATATAAAAAATTTTAAAGTATAATGTCAAAAATTATTTCAATGGCTGTTTATTTTTTATTTGAATTTTTTTAAATAAATTTTAAAAATGCATTCAGCTTAAAAAAAAATTTAATTAATATTTTTTTATTGTTTTTTCATGGTTTTGATATGATAATATCAACAAAATAAATTTTAAAAAATATGTTATGTTTTTTTTAAAGCATTTTCTGACTTTTCAAGTTGAATGTCATGTAAAATACTCATCTCTATCGGGGGGGAAAAAAACCTCGTATTATACTAGAACATTGCAGGGACAAAGCCCACTGAACCACAGCTCATATCACTATCACGACCATTCTGTAAAACAAGCAGAATCCCTATAAATAGTATACATGCTCTTTGACTGCATTTCCATGCACGCTGCCGCTTGGAGGAAGCTCCCCTTGGACCTAACCGTCCATGCATGCCAGAACCGTTCCCAGCTGAAGCGGGGCCTTGCAATGCATGGGAAGGAATACTCTGCTGGGTGTCGTTGTTCATGATCAATGAGTTAAGGAAGCTATTTGGATTCTGATTCATCCCTCTTCTTGCCGAAGCAGGCTTGCCGATCTCAGTTGCATGGACCATTGAAGTCAATGACTCAGATTCTGCTGGTAATGAAATCCCACGTAGCCCGTCAATGGGCAGAATGCAATATATATATATATAGGCCTACAGAGCAAGAGGAAGTACTCTGTGTTTGTAAGGATGTGTAACCTAAAAGAACATGATGACAAAGTAGAATTAAGGTGAACTAAAAGGTTTGATGAAGGATAAGACCCCGTACATCAGTATGAATAGGAATGACTACTTAATTTGAATTGCTGCAGATAATTGCTCTCTCACCGTGTTGTGTGCCTAATCTGCCATCTGTCTCCGTTCCTTCTTCATCACTTTCAGCTCCATCTGCACTATCGTAGTCGTTGCCGTCATCCTCTTCACTGCCATCCTCTGCAGGAGTGACTACAATTTCCGTTGCGAGGAGTAACAATGGCAGCGGACCGATGACAGAACAGTTTCTTACGTGCATGCCCAATCTCCACGGGTTATCTCATCATATATAACCTAAGGGTAGTCATTTGACTTCCAAAATGATAGCTTATAATCAAGGGACTGAGCGCCACTAGCAGTCTCTACAACACGCTTTCCAATTTTGGTGGAAGGAAGGAACCTCCCCACCATTGGATACAGACCAGCCACAAGGACAGCATGGACTATACCTTGGAAGGAACCCCCCCACCATTGGATACAAACCAGCCACAAGGACAGCATGGACTATACCTGGAACATGAAGATCAATGAGTTAAGGAAGCTATTTGGATTCTGATTCATCCCTCTTCTTGCCGAAGCAGGCTTGCCGATCTCAGTTGCATGGACCATTGAAGTCAATGACTCCACAGATTCTGCTGGTGATGAAATCCCACGTAGCCCGTGAATGGACAGAATGCAATATATACATAGGCCTACAGGGCAGGAGGAAGTACTCTGTGTTTGTGAGGATGTGTAACCTAAAAGAACATGATGACAAAGTAGAATTAAGGTGAACTAAAAGGTTTGATGAAGGATCAGACCCCGTACATCAGTATGAATAGGAATGACTACTTAATTTGAATTGCTGCAGATAATTGCTCTCTCAACGTGTTGTGTGCCTAATCTGCCATCTGTCTCCATTCCTTCTTCATCACTTTCAGCTCCATCTGCACTATCGTAGTCGTTGCCGCCATCCTCTTCACTGCCATCCTCTGCAGGAGTGACTACAATTTCCGTTGCGAGGAGTAACAATGGCAGCGGACCGATGACAGAACAGTTTCTTACGTGCATGCCCAATCTCCACGGGTTATCTCATCATATATAACCTAAGGGTAGTCATTTGACTTCCAAAATGATAGCTTATAATCAAGGGACTGAGCGCCACTAGCAGTCTCTACAACACGCTTTCCAATTTTGGTGGAAGGAAGGAACCTCCCCGCCATTGGATACAGACCAGCCACAAGGACATCATGGACTATACCTGGAACATGAGCATTTGGATTGCAACTTGAGACATCTTCTGGAATAAAACCCTTGCGAATTAATTCTCTCTGGAGCTGCTTACGCATGGCTTGCAGCATATTCATGGTGCTTGGAGAGATGAAGTATTGTTAACAAAACCATGCTTCTAGACCCCTATTCTTTGCTTTCTTCCAGCACTCAAAAGCTGCTATAACTGCTAACTGATCGCTGGATTTTACTCTGTTGCGAGGAGTAACAATGGCAGCGGACCAATAACAGAACAGTTTCTTACGTGCGGTTATCTGGTAATGTATAATCCCAGTATAGTGGTTATTTTGTATCTTCTAAAATGTTTTTTAAAAATTACTTTTGTTACGCATGGCTTGCAGCATATTCATGGTGCTTGGAGAGATGAAGTATTGTTAACAAAACCATGCTTCTAGACCCCTATTCTTTGCTTTCTTCCAGCACTCAAAAGCTGCTATAACTGCTAACTGATCGCTGGATTTTACTCTGTTGCGAGGAGTAACAATGGCAGCGGACCAATAACAGAACAGTTGCTTACGTGCGGTTATCTGGTAATGTATAATCCCAGTATAGTGGTTATTTTGTATCTTCTAAAATGTTTTTTAAAAATTATTTTTGATATTAAAATATTAAAATGATCTAAAAATATAAAAAAAATTCAATTTGAAACAAAAAAGTTTAATATTTTTTAAAAACATTTTTGAAACACAAAAACAAATAGACTTAAATTTAAGGTGAAATTACATGCTACAGTAAATCTAATTTATAAATAAATTTAGAATTAAATATTAAATTATAGAATTGAATTGAATTATAATATTTGGAATATCTATAAAAAGAAATTAGTAATCTTGATTATTTTGTTTTTAATTTACAAATTATCTTATTACAAAAATAATTTTTTTGTTGCAGCAACCCTTATGTTTATTTTAAATGACATTAAATGTATATATTTTAAATAAAATATAAATATACAAGTAAATCTAATTTATAAATAAATTTAGAATTAAATATTAAATTATAGAATTGAATTGAATTATAATATTTGGAATATCTATAAAAAGAAATTTGTTAATAAACTTCATGTTCAATCTCTACTTGTTCTTAAAAATATATAGTTTGATCTTATCATTTTCAGATATATCTTCTTCATGAAATCATGTGGTGATTACATGAAGTTCGTTTGATCTTATCATTTTTGAACTATTTTGAATGACCGGAGAAACTTATTTTCCAAAGATATCTTATTCATGAAATCATGTGATCGTTACATAGAGTTAATGATTTATTCCGATTCATATGAATTTATCAAAATCAGTAAAGATATTCCAATCAAAACAAATCAAATATCTTAATAGATCTCATGTTTTTTTTTTTGAATAATGTAGCCATGAATTATTATCATGCATCAATGTTAAAATTTGTTCTTATCAAGTTTAAAAAAGATCATTCACATCCCAAAATGGTAAATCCAGTCCACCCAAGATAAGAAGAATGGGCCATTTTCACAAACATTTTCATGCAAGCTGGCCATTTTCGTAGCAGGGCCACAAAAAGGGTAGAGTCCATGTGATTGCAGAATTTGCAGACCTCCTCGCCCCAATCCCTCTCTATCTAATCCCCTCCATGTCTCTCCATAACCCCATTCAGTTGGTTTCCTCAACGCAACGAGCAAACATTACAAGACCAAACCCTCTCCGTCTCTTTTCCTTCCTTTTCCTTTATCCTTCTCTTCATTCTATAATACACAAAGCAAGGTACCAACCCAGCACACCTTGTTTTTTCTTTTTTTCTCCGAAAATAATTGCTATCATCACTATTTTCCGCTTATGATCACTGATATTGTTCTTTCAAATTTGTAATTTTTTTTAAAAATCTTTTCTGGGTTGAATCCAGCGTGTGCTTTTCTATACTCCTGTAACCGACAAAGAAACAAACAGGGAACATTTTTCACTTTATTTTCACCTTTACCCATTTCTGATCATCTTAGACTTGGTTTCTTCCAATCGTTTTTTCATCTTTCTTGATCTGATTCGCCTACCAAACTAGATTTCGGTTTTTGGGTATTTCAGAGTTTGCTCTTTTATCTCCTAACTTGCAGTTATTTTTTCCTGATTCTGTTAGATTTTTTTTGTGCTTTATGTCTTCATGATGGTTTGTGTATTGGGTGCTTAGTTTTGGAGTGGATTTGGTGTTTTGGGCTCTTGAGTGATGGAGATGATGGATTGTTGCATTAATGGTTGTCTCTGATCTGGGTTTTAAGTGTTTTCTGTACATGAACTGAAATTAAAACGATATTGCTATTTTTTTCCTGGCAAGGTCCTTTCCTTTTCATTTGGTTTTATGGGTCTTGAGTGTTTCTTGCTTATTTTTGCTGTAATGTGTCTGGTCAATTATTATTTTGGGTTTCTTGTGCTAGTAGTTTGGGTACTCATTCACATTTTTGTTTCATGGCCTTTGTTGATTATGAAAGTTTCAGAACTTTCAGTTTGGCTTGTTATTAAGGAGCCAAATGAGCTTTTCGGCTTCTAATTGATGGACATATCAGTTTGACACACTGAAATCATGCCTTTTGAGCATACATTATCAACAATTGGTGCTGATAAGGACACTGTTTGGGCGTTAGTGTTGATTTTCTTTTGTGATGATCTTTTTCATGAATGGCTGTACTCTATGTGGTGATTTAGGAATTAAATTAGTTATCAAAGGGGATTGAATTACCATGTTTAACTTTGTTTCATGATGGAATTAAATTGAACTCCAGGATAAATACTTTCTCTTGGCATTTGTTTGCCTCACTGAAGATGAAAGTTCCATGTTAGGGTGAGAATTTACCATATCGGGTAGAAGCTTAAGCTATCTAAGCATCAAATTTCTGTCTTTAAATGTGGTGTGTAGACTGGATTTTAGAAGTTAATGGAAGTGTCAGTTGATCCATTTCTTGAAATTTCTATTGGAGAATGATGAGTTTTATGAAAATAATCACTTCTCAAAACTTTAAAAGCAAACATAATCCTGGCACCCAGTTCTTACAGGGGGGAATTTTTTGTTAGACTCAAGCAAGCTTTCCTACAATGGATGCTAATGTAGCATGATGAGTTATCGAGTTTCTATTGCTTTGGGATCAATGTATTATTACACTTTGAATCTCCGTTTTTGATGAGAAATCAGATAGTGTAATTTGACAGAGATAAAGAATAGTGACCTGGTAATTTGCCACCTTTCTCCTACATAATCTGATTTCAATAAGGGGCCATGTTCTTAAAGCCAATTACTTTTTGTCCCACACTGCATCCTATGTTCATACGATGTCATATTCTCTAATTCATGTAGTTTAATATTCCCCAAACTATCATAACTATGTATTTCCAAGTCATTCTTGCATAACTTAAATCAACAGGTCTTGTTATTGATGCTAGGTAGTGCAAATTGTAATATACAAAAACAAAAGTTGCAAGAAAAAAGAAAAAAAATTAAGCCCATCTTCAGTATTTCTTACTTGGAAGCATTTGGCATGGTACAGATAATGAAAAGTGGAATGCCATTGCAGTTCATTTGAGGTGTTGTATCTTTCTTCAAGCTTTGCAGTTATTCTGAACCAAGTTGATCTCAAGGCAAGTTTCTTTATCTCTGTACTTTTGTTTTTGTCTAAAAAATGGTTTAGCATCCGGTTCTCTTGCCAATTTAAATCCATGAACCAGAAGTTCTATTGATTCTTTCGAAACTCTGTCAATCTCATTCTCATGTGCAGTTGGTTTGAATGATGGATGCTGTACTGAAGTTATACTTTGAACATAAGCCTTTAAAGCTTAGCTGAACAGTTATATTTTAAGTTTCTATATGATAGCAGTTACTGCAAGACTGATAATTAAAGGAGTTTATGTAAAGAAACCAACAGATGAGTTGGGAAAGACACCTTCAGAAAAGGCAACCCATAGAATGTTCAGTACAAGTGATATTGTTTTCTATTGTCTTATATATCATTTTACTTTGCTGTTGTTTGCAATCATATAATCAAGGAGAACTTTTTTATGACTCTATGCCTCATCCTTACTTCCATTTTAACAAATTTTACTTGTCTATGTTATGCAGGAAGATATATATTGTGATAAATTCAAGGCATTTTTAATTAGACTCCTTAGTTGTCTGGTTACCGTGCTGTAATATATGGGCTGAGGTGTGCATTTCATGGGAGGTGTAGAGGATGATGAACCAGCCTCAAAACGCCTGAAATTAGCCTCCGGAAGGTTGACAGGTCTTTCCAACGGTTCATCTTTAACAGAGCCCATTGTTGGTTCCAGGGATTTGATGGCTCGCCCCCCACAATCTGAAGGGGACAAAGAGGTTCTTGGCTCAAAAGGAGTTATTAAAAGAGTTGAATTTGTCAGAATAATAGCCAAGGCGTTGCATTCTCTTGGATATAAGAAAAGCTGTGCTCATTTAGAGGAAGAGTCTGGGATACCATTACATTCATCTGCAGTAGATTTATTTATGCAGCAAGTTCTCAATGGCAATTGGGATGAAAGTGTAGTCACATTGCATAACATTGGCCTAAAGGATGAAAACATTGTCAAGTCAGCATCTTTTCTGATATTGGAGCAGAAGTTTTTTGAACTTTTGGATGGGGACAATATTGTGGATGCTTTGAAGACATTGAGGACTGAGATTGCTCCTCTCTGCATTAATAATGGTCGAATTTGTGAACTTTCTTCCTGCATTATATCTTCTACACGTTGCGATTCAGTTGGTTCTTCCAATCAAGACAATGGAAGGATAAAGCCGCGGTCCAAGCTGCTGGAGGAACTGCAAAAGCTGCTTCCCCCAACAGTTATAATACCTGAGAGCAGATTGGAACATTTAGTTGAACAGGCACTTACCTTACAACGGGATGCTTGCTTCTTTCACAACTCGTTGGATAAAGAAATGTCGTTATACTCAGATCATCAGTGTGGAAGAGATCAGATTCCTTCTCGAATTTTGCAGGTTAGGGCATACTTGCAAATGATGGCTTTATATGGAGGTTCTTTGGTTTTGATTGAATTCTGTGATGTAGTGTTTTTCTTTATGAGCTGTTAGATAATGTGTGCTTTGACCAAATTTTAGTTATACAGAGCTATTATCTTAGTGACTAAGTGGAAAAGATTTCTGGGGTCAGAAGCAGAAATGAAAGTCGAATCAATAATCTATCAGGGCATTTTTTTATTGGGAAATTGAAAATTTTGATGAATGCTATTGCTTAATTTATATGTTTTTAGTAAGTCCTGTTTATGTTTAGCTTTTGCTTTGGATTTTATTTCCATGAGCAGACTACACCTTTCCATTTTCAGTTGCTTTCTATGCATTACTGGCACCACTAGATTGAGTCTTTCTCTTATTCCCACTGGAACAGATATTAGAAGCACATTCAGATGAAGTCTGGTTCTTACAATTTTCACATAATGGGAAATACTTAGCTTCATCCTCTAACGATCGATCAGCAATCATATGGGAGGTATAATTGTTTGCTTTTAGCATGTTATGTTATTCAATCGTTTTTCCATATTCTTTCTCTGCTGTTTTATTTGATTCTGCCTGCAACTTTCTGCCTGGGATATTTAATTGTGTGTTTCTCATATGGTGTCTTTAGAGGTTTAATCACTCTGTTTATGCAACCTTATTAATCAAACACCATTAAAATTCTTAAATAATCAACTATTTCTTCCCCATAAACATTTATAAGCTTCACTGGGCATGCCTTGTTCGCTATGTGCAACCCCCTTATTTGAAGAACAAGGGACTGCTGGAGGTTCAGATGCATCCGTGTCATTCTGCTCATGGAACAATTATATATGTTTCTTACGTGCCAGCTAATTTGACATGCTTTCCAGATTGATGTAAATGGTGGAGTTTCTTTGAAGCATAGATTATCTGGTCACCAAAAGCCTGTCTCCTCTGTTTCTTGGAGTCCTGATGACCATCAGCTTCTCACTTGTGGGGTGGAGGAGGTTGTCAGGCGCTGGGATGTTTCTTCTGGTGAGTGCCTCCAGGTTTATGAGAAAGTGGGCCTTGGCCTGGTATCCTGTGGGTGGTTTCCAGACGGGAAATGGATATTTTCTGGCATCAATGATAAGAGCATCTGCATGTGGGAATTGGACGGGAAAGAGGTAGAATGTTGGAAAGGGCAGCGAACTTTGAAGATTTCTGATTTAGAGATAACGAGTGATGGGAAGCAGATTATAAGTATGTGTAGACCCACTGCAATTTTATTGCTTGATAGAGAAGCTAAAGCTGAGAGGGTGATTGAAGAAGATCAAACAATTACTTCATTCTCATTATCAAGAGATAATAGGTTCTTGCTGGTTAATCTTCTGAACCAAGAAATCCATCTGTGGAGTATAGATGGTAACATCAGGCTTGTTGCAAAGTACAAAGGCCATAGGCGTACCCGGTTTGTTATTAGGTCATGTTTTGGGGGACTTGAACAAGCTTTTATTGCATGTGGTAGTGAAGACTCTCAGGTATGAATTTTGATTGTTTTTTTTTTTAATTCTTAAAAAAAAGTATACTAGAAGCAGAAGTTTTGTTCATATGTTTAATTACTTTTCCTTGTGCATAAGCCATAGTCTTCTGCCTGGGCATATTTCTTTCTTTCCTCTTCACTGACCATTTTATCATGGGAGGGGTTGGTAATGATCTGGTCAGATCATTCAAGAGAAGGGCATTATTTGAATCAAATGTTGCATGTTAGTTCTTTGCACTTTCTAAGAAAGTCAAATGGTATGTACATTCCTAAGCAGTTGAGATCTCGTGATTTTTTTCTTAAATTGATCACGGCCATAGGATTGCTGATATTGTGGTGGCTTTTCAATTTGTACTACATTGAAAAAAATTATTCTGCTCCCTCATCATGCATGAGAATCACAATGGATGGTATTTGTTCTAACTTGAAAAAATTATTATGTTCCCATATCATGCATGAGAATCACAATGGATACTGACTAGTTCTGATAGAAAATAATTAGCTGGCTGACTGGAGATTTTAGGGAAATCTATTTTTCTTAAACAACACCTTCAGCCTCAGAAAAACTGAAAAAGCTTCAAATAGTGCTTTTGTTTCTGTGTATGTGTCTTGTGAGGCTTCCATATATTCTTACATCAACAGTTTGCCTTAGATGTATAGTATTCTATCCTGTTCTTTTTGGAAGAAAAAAATGGAAATTCTGTTGACAGTTTTGTTACCAGAAGCCTTTAGAAATAGCTCAGAAGCACATGGAGAGTTACAAGTATATGTATATACAAGCTTTTTTTTTTTTAATAAATTTATCATACGTCCTATCACTTTTTTTGGGTTAAATGTCACCAAGAAATTTTATCTCCTTAATATGGTAAGAAATCTACACGTGAACAGGTTTGATCCACACTAAATACCAATCACAAATGGAATGAGTAACTAGCCAAGATTAAGAAATCATTTGCATGAATGGAACAATGTCCTACATTTTAGTTTTATTTCCAAATAAGGTGCAAGGAGATAAAGTTAAGAGAGTGTGCACCAAGAATTTTATAGAGGTTCAGTCAACTGTCTACTACCATTTAAGAGTTTTACTAATACTCACGTAGTCCACTTCTTGAATACCAAAACTTTACACAATCTTTTTCACAGATCAAAGATTGAAACCTTTTTATATTCTTTGTTAGGTTCAAGATCTAACACAATTCTTTTACGGGTTCAAGATCAAACCTAATCCCTTTGCAAAGGCTAAGGATCAAACTCACTCCCTAATCTAATCTTTTTTAAGGGTACAAGATTAGCAAACCATTCCTCACCAATACTTGTAAATGGACAAGTATCAAACCCTTAAATAGGTTTTAGAGGCTTTACCAAGTGTTTTAAGTGTCACTTATATTTTCCACAATATTATTACTCTCTTAATAAAGTTGAATGGTATACAAATGAAGCACTTGAAGGAATTCTACCAATAACACTTCAACCTTGTTTTTGAATGAATTAAGAGTGCAAATATAATCAGAATTTTGCCTTTGATGTTCTTGATCATTTTGCTCAAGTGAGGGGTATTTATAATGCTAAAAATCAAACTAGTCGTTGGACATAACTTTCAAAAAATTTCAGTCCTTTTGAGAATTAGTTAGACCATTTCTAGAATTGGTAGACCGTTTTAAAGTTGTCGGACAGATTCTGGAATTTCCAAAAAAAAAGTTGAATTGTTACCAAAATGGTCACATAATTTGGAGAAACAAGTAGCTGTTTCTCTAAATTAGCTAGATTGATTTAGCTACCATAAGTCTTCTCTTGTTTTGCGTGTATGGGTGTTTTGGTCTTTTCTTGTGTTCTTTTGGGTTTGTTTAGGTTTTGTAGATATGAAAACTATTTCCTAAATAAAATGTTATTTGGCTAATACTCATTACAAGCTCTTGATCTTTGAAGTAAAAAATAATTATCTCATCAAGTTTCTTGTTCTTGAATTTCATGTATACATACATTGTTTTTTTTATGATTTCGTTGAATGATTTTATTCTCATGAAACTTGTTTAAATCATCACAAAGCTTGTGCAACATAGAAATGCATGTAATATATGTTTTTATATTCATTAAGTAAAGCTACTTACCTTAGCTCTTATGCATGCCTAGACCTTGTATTTAATCATCATTGAACTTAAACACTAATGCATATTTCATACCGGCATATTTTCATGTAGGTATTTAAATAAACATACAATTATTACTCCATTCAAAAATAACATAAACTTTAAGCATATAGAATAAAACAAGTTAAATTATGATTTTAAGACAAGTTAACTTTTGAGTGTAAAACAAGTCAAACATTCAATTTAAAACAAGGTAAGTATAACTCTTCAAAAGTACTAAACCACTTAGTTGGAAATGGACACTAAACTTTTAGTGTAATCAAATGAACAAAACACAAGATATCATTTGATCAAGTTAATGAAGGATGATGCAACTCATTAATCACATCAACTTGCATGTGAATTCATATAAGCCAAAATTGAATCGTGACAACATGTGTATCTCCCCTCATACTATATGCAATGATGATATAAAATAATACTACAATACATATATCAAATTTATATTATCATTAAAAGACAAGTTGTTTTTCTAAGATTATTTAGTGATGGACAAAGAAAAGTGGAAAAATGAGAGTAAGAAGAATGAAGAAAGAAAGATTATGAGGAAGTGACAACAAATGTTAGCTCATTCCATCCTTTCACTATATATAAGAAAAGAATACAAAATTACTTTATTACCCTTGACTCCTCACTATATTTAATAATTACTTTATTGATATCTCTCATGCCCATCTTGAAAGTATAATGTGAAACAAGTAAACACATCAGATTTTTTAGTCACAAATGTTCACACACTCCATGTGCTTCTACCTTCAAGTAACTATTATTAGAAAACAACAACCCCTTTCCAGGAAGAGACTTAGATATCTAAGGATGCAATAAACAACATCAAGGTGGGATGCATGAGGATCATGCTTAAACTGACTGATAACACTAACTGAATAAGTTATATCAGATCGGGTATATAGATTAACCTACCATCCATGCTTTGATATCTCCCATTTCCAACTACTTCATCTTCACAATTGACAAGGTGATGATTCACTTCTATAAGAGAATCAATTGATCTATAACCCAACATTGTTGTTTCAGAAAGTAGATCAAGAATATACTTCATCTAAGAAAGAAGATGCCCTAACTTAACCTTATGACTTCAATTCCTAGAAAATAACGCAACCTCCCAAGGTCTTTGATTTCAAATTCTTTAGCAAGATACTTCAACATATAAACCTCCTCATGATAATTTTTTGTCATCACAATGTCATTAACATATACAATGAGAATTGTTGTCTTGCCTTGGTAATGTTTAATGAACATAGTCTCCTAGTCTTCATTGCTTTGTTTGTACCCAAATCTAACAATTGCCTTGATGAATCTATCAAACCATGTACATGGAGATTGCTTAATGCCATATAAAGTTTTTCTCAACTTGCAGACCTTGCCCTCTCTCTTCTCATAAGAGAAATCTGAGGAATTTTCATGTACACTTCTTCCTTTAAGTTCCCATGTAGAAAAGCTTTATTCACATCTAATTGTTGCAAGTCCCGTCCTAGGTTTGATGCAGTAGATAATGATACCCTGATTGAGTTCATTTTTTGCAAAAGGAGCTGGTGTTTCCTGATAGCCAATTCTATAAGTTTGGGTATATCTCTTAGCATCTAGCCTTGTCTTGTATCTATCAATACTTCCATCCGACTTCTACTTAATGGATAAAACCCATTTGCAACCTACCACTCTCTCTACAACAGGAAGAATAGTCAGCTTCCATGTGTCATTTTTCAACAAAAACTCTTATCTCCTTTACCATAACTTCTTTCCGCCTATTATTTTCAACAGCCTCTATCCAATTCTGAGGAGGATACAAAAGCTCTATATGAAGGTGACAACTGATCCTATAACACAAAATTAGATAAATGATATTTGGTACAACTTCAAACTCTTTTTCCTAAGAGCTATAGTAAGATCATCAATAGAAAGAATAGCATTTTCAGTGGAAGAGTTAGGAAACTTATAGTCAGGAGTATGCTCTAAGGTTGAATTCGAAGATGGTTCTTGGCTAGGTATAGTAGATTCATTGACTTTTGTTTTTTTCTTGCTAGCGTAACCTGCTAAGCCTTCTCCTGCTGTCCCTTTCTAGTTTCCCCATCATCTTCCTTAACTATTTCTTTCTCTCTTTCTGGTTTCTCATCACTCTTGCATTCCTCAATTTCTGCTAGATCTTCATCTCCTTTCTCCTTCTCTCTATCCCTCTGATTTGCTTCCTTCAATTATGGTCTAGGATTAAACAGAGTTGGGGATACCAATAACATATCCGCACTCTTGTTGACTTTCCTATCATTTTCACAAAAAGTTGCATCCATGCCAACAAACATTTTCCTACTTGAAGGATGACAACATTTATACCCTTTCTAAGTAGCAAAGTCTCCAATGAAAACACATTTCAATGCTCGTGGACCCAACTTACCAGCATATTATCGATGTTCCTTGTAGGAACTTCTGAGCTCAAGAACTCTAAGTAGCATCCTATTAATGAGACATGCTGGAAAAAACTTTTTTCCAGGACCATAAGATAAAATTGTTTTTGACCAAGTCTTGTGATCATTGGCTCCTGAATGTATAACCCAAGGATCGAAATCAGAAATGGTGGATGAATTAAAAGCTATCACTGGCATACCTGCATGTTCAAAGTTGGATGAAGAGAGAGGATCAAGCTTGGCTATTAGATGTCCAAGTGTCTGAACCTCTTGAATGTTTAGGTTGTACTATATTTATTGTATGGTTGTATAATTACACATGTAAGGAGCAGCTGTTGAAACATTCTGGAATCTCTAAAAACAGGCATTGCTTTTGTTTGTTATTTTCATTCTTGAATTCTGGGTTATTAGTTTATAAATAAGGGAGGAGGGTTAACTAAGTTCAGCAGATTTGATGAATTTTGGCTGGCTGTGTTTTGGAATGAGTTTAGATGAAACTCTTTGGTTCTGGATATTTAATTCTGAAGTGTTTGAGTGTTATTATCATTTCTTTCTGAAGTTCAAATTATCTATATCTGCAGGTATATATCTGGCATAGAGGCTCGGGAGATCTTGTTGAGGCATTGCCAGGTCATTCTGGAGCAGTTAACTGCGTGAGCTGGAATCCAGCAAATCCACACATGTTAGCATCTGCTAGTGATGATCGTACCATTCGAATATGGGGCTTGAATTCCCTGCATGTGAAGCACAAGAGTGCTCACAGCAATGGCACCCACTACTGCAATGGAGGAACTTGAAAGAAACTCAAGCAAGATATTTTCAGATAAATACTTCTTTTCCTTGACCATTGCTTTCATGTATATACTTTATTTTTGTTTCCAGCAGACATTGAATTCATATCAAACAAGCATGTGAATTGTGCAGCGACTTTCTGATAATAAATTTCCTTTCATTTTTAGCGTTGGACGAGCTCTTTACTCTATTCCTAGTTGTGGGTTAGATGGCAGGTCCTCTCACGCGCTAGTTGATCAAAAACTTTTGGACAAAAAAAAAAAGGCTGTAATTTGTTGTGAGGGTTTTTTCGAACAAATGATTAGATACGTTTTGTTAGGGGAAAAAAATCTTGTGCTCCTTGATGTTTTTGTTGTCAATCAAGCAGCATTTTTATAAGTGTCTTGGAGCAGTAATTTGATGCCTTGTGTTGTTTTCTATGACATCATAAATTGGAATAAGTTGCTTTATTTATTGTAGTTTCAAAATTATTGTTTTTTTTAGTAACACAGAATACCTTTCCTTGCAACATTTTAACTTTCCTCGGCCAGTAGCTGCATTTTTTTTCCACAGCCAAAGATAAAAGTTGAAAATATTTTGTCTAGGGGTTCTATCATTTTGGTCAAGCCTCCAATCAATCAAGTACATGCTAAGATTTTTTTAGCAATAAGGAAAGCTGGACAACAGCTCAAAACAAACATCACAGATTTCCATTTGATTTACAACAATTTCTTAGTTGTGTTTCTCAAGCAACACTGAAAGAACTTGCAGCGCTCTCCACGAACTTTCTTGCTCCCTTGAACCATCTCTTGTCTCCAGCTTGTGCCTTGCAAATGTAAAGCTTACCATCCTTCACAGTGGCTGTGATAAGTTGGTGCTTGCCACCTTCATCTCCATCAGCAGTCCTTGTCAGTACTGACAAGAAGTAATATTGTTTCCCATCAATCACCGGAGTTGAGGTCTCCAATATGTTAGCTGTTGCTACGGTATTGGTGTCGAAACCACCCTGCATGATCAGTTTAGATTCACGTGAAATAAAAATGCATAAACACTGCTACTTTGGGTGGATAAAAACAGAAAATTGTTCCACTTAATTCTTTAGTGATCTAGTTTGGGAAGGTTTAGCATGTCGTATAAACAACATGAAAATCAAACGACCTATTCTGCAATGTTTCTCCGTTGTTTCGACAGTACCTCAGATGAAGTCGCAAACAAGGAGGATTGTTTTCCAAGCAAGTAATCCACCTGCAGTGACCAAAGAAAAATACATGTCAAGTTTCTACCATTTTTCCAAATTTCAGATTTTGAAAGAAAGCTTGGAAGTAGTAAAAAACATCTTCCATGCAGATTTGAACTTCTGCATAAATTTGATGGATTGAGAATACGAAACATGATTGTACCTTGGAGAGGAATTCCTCAGGGGAACCGTAGTCGGTGATGGATTTCTTATCGGTTGGGATGACCATGACAGAAACGTTGCTGGTGGCATCAAAATTGTCCTCATATCTCAGAACCTGACCAGGGAACTCTCTCTCTTTGCTGGGATTCCATTTTGCTGGAATTGACAACTTGAATCCATCTCCATTGTAGGGCAAGAAGTCTGTGTTTGTCTTTGGCTTCCCGAAAATATTGGCTGCAACGAGCCATGTAAACTGATCAACTAGACAAATTTGATCAATTCTGTTTCTCGAGACAGAGTACTATGCCCACGTTTATGGATGGTTTGGAGGTTATCAGATTCAGAGGACATGAATTTCCCCTCTTTAGTCGCCTTTTTTTTTTTTTCAAGAATCATTAACATGTCCATTAAGAGAGAATTCTCTCCTTAATCACTCTAATCTCAAGTGAGTTGGATTAACCAGCATGTTCCTCGAGTGACTTCTCCCTATCTAAACTAGCTACCATCCAATATGATGAAATCAATACGGTGTTTTTTTTTTCTTTTAAGATAAGCTGAAACTAGTACAGTTTAACTCCTTCAGTTCAGAGGTAGGTAAAGCCGAAGGCCACGAAATATGGGATACTTGGTTATGATTAATGCGATGGAATTATTTGATTTTGCCAGTGAAGATATATCTATGGAGGTTCTATTCTTGTGGATACTTACTGGTTTTATTGGAAAAAACCAGAGCTGGCAGTTGATTGTTCGACAAGAATCACGGCATTCATATGATGCCAACATGTTACGCAGAACCTCCATAGAGTCCTGCTTCGATTTCAAAATTAAAACTCATATACTACTAGCCATTTCAGTTCATCACTTGCAAGCAATTAAGACAAGTATAAATAAGGAGCTCAGCATATGTATGTTTTACCAGATTCACCATAGGCAGCATCAGCGGGAGCAACCTTTGAGCCAAGGGCAGCAGCACCAATGAGCACAGTGAGTGCCCATCTACGAGACACAACACCTTCATCCTCTTCCTGTACTGCCTGCTTCTGTGCCCTGCAAACCAGCTGCGAGGGCTTGAGGTTAACCACTTGGCGCTGTGATGATGAGGTTGATCTGGCCGGAGTGGCTAGTGCATGGTGGTGCAAGAAGCATGCAGTGGAGGCCATGTCTCTTTGCTTCACTACCTTAAAGCCTTCAACTAGAAAAGGTCGATTGTTTCGTGTATAATAAACTATCAAGCTCTGTTTGCTGGGCTTTGTGGTGCCTAGAAAACGGGTTTGGATGTTTGTGTTTGTGATATGTGAAGGGAAATGGATAGTTTTGGATACTGGACGATGAGAAAGAGATCAGATTTTAGATGCGGGATAAGGTTGTAATGGCTCTGAGTGGTGCCACCTGAAATCATCACTCCAAATCTTCTCTCTGCTCTTGCATTGGGGTCCATCACTCCATTGTGGCTTCATCATAGGAATGGAGACAGGTGAATAAAATGCACCTTGTCTCCTTCCCTCACACGTCCACAACACAAATAATTTTCAATGGGAACCCGTCCCTTTCTAGCTTTTGCAGATCAGCCAGGTCTGATCTGAGCCCAGGAAGTCCTAACCACGCCTAGGCCTAGATGGTTTTCGACTCTTCTTTAATACTGGGCTATGCTCAGCAGGACGGCGGATTTAAGCCTTGAAAACCTTTAACAGTTTATCACACCCGCAACCATACCTGCTACTCACATACTGAAGTGGTCCAATTCCATCAAAATAAATTTATAAGCACCTTTGCCATGTAATTTGAATTCTATTAGCCTATAATCCGAGCTTACACAAGAAAAAGAAACTTCCATATTATGTTTGCGTTTTTTAACACCGTGATTTTTCTAATTGAAAAACAGAAAGATGTTGTCATGCTTAGCAAAATAAATTAATATATATATATTTACAAATTAAAAAAATTATTAATACTAATTAAATACAAAAATAAAAAGTTATTATTCTTAGTAAACCTCCTAAGAGGTAAACTAATTGAATAAAAAATATTTAACAATAAAATCTTCAACTATGGTTTTGTAATTGACTGTAAGATAAGATGTGATCATCCAAACATTTTTTTAATATTTTTTATTGATTTTTTCTCTTTTTTCTTAATTTTTAGAAACTGAAACATGAAAAAAAATTGAAGATAAAGGTAAATTTTTAAAATAACATTAACTAAATAATACATAAACTAAAACTTTACAAACAAAGTGAAGTTTTTTGTGTCCAAATCTAAATGGGACCTATTTTGGTTTTTTTTTTTTTTAAAGAAGTTTTTTGTGTCCAAATCTAAATGGGATCTATTTTGGTTTTTTTTTATTTAAAAGTTGGTCTTTATTTGTTTTAATTTCTTTTTTAACTACAACCTAAAGTCGATCAAAATATTTCAGATAGGATGCAACTTAGAATGACGAAATTATACATAAAAAAATCTTGATAACATAAATGAAAATAATTATGCACTAGGAACAGTGCAATAACAACGACATTGAATCTTGGTGCAGTGAACTCCAATGTTACTTTTCATCAACGTTTTCCTAGTTTATAGGATAATAGCACCATCCACTCACAAGTCATTGCAACACATAAAAATCCAACACAATCATGTGTTCTAAGAAACTAAATTCAATGTTCAAGAGGAAAGACATATCTAATATAACCAGTTTCGAAAGAGACGAAGTGAAGACACAGGCAGGCAGGGAAAAGAAAGAAAATGTCTGAGATTAAATGGCCACAAGATTGTATTCTTACGAAGAGAAGGAAACCCCATGTATACCACTAGTTCAAGCACTCAAGCTTGGCCACTAATTTCCTGCAAGTCTATTATGCTTAATATTGTCTAGAAAACAGAAGCCCCTTGTTGTCCATGCATCTCAACTCACACAAGGTAACTACGTTCCCTGGAAACTACAAGTCTCTAGGCCATACAATCTTCTAAGATCCAAGTGCTTCGATGTAATTTTTAGAGGCGGATTATTCCAGATAGCAAACAGATCTTGCTGCTTTGCTCCCAATTTTGCTAGATGGATTGGTGATCCATTTTGATTTCCTTCACGCATGGCATTCATTGGCACATACAACCAGCTACCGATGTATATATCATTGAGCATCCCAACAATATAATATGATCTATGATTACTTCATACAGAGGATTCATGATACACACTGGTTCGTGTCGTTCCGAGACATAAAACACCTGCTAGCGCGTGCCATTCCCCTTTCCCTCTGCTCGGCTTGGTGGTTTTGACCATTAGTTCTGACTTTGTTTGTAGCTTGTATCGGTGTAGTTTGTAAATGAATAAAAGAAAAGATATTTATTTCATATTAGAAAGAAATACTTTTTTCTAATATTTTTAAGTGTGGGTTTCTATTGCATAATAAATTAAGACATGGTGGACAAACTCTCATATTTGACTTCCTAATGTTATTATATGGATATTTAAAATATCAAAAGATAACATTTGAAGTTTTGAACTTGGAACTTAATATGAACAGTTATACTGTTTCATGAAAAGTTATATTATTTGATGAACAATCATATTATTTTATTAACAATCATATTGTTTGATGAACAATCATAATGTTTCATCAATAGTCATATTGTTTGATGAATAATCATAGTGGTTCATTAATAGTCATATTATTTGATGAACAGTCATATTGTTTCATCATTATGTTTCAAGCCTATAAAAGCATATTACTACAAAAAAAAAGAAATATAACAAAATATATATATATATATATATATATATATATATATATATTCTTT